GTGGATTGTGGATGACCGAAGTATAAACCAGACACCGAAGCAGCAGGGTCCATCGCTAATGACTCGGTTAAACGTATACCAGTCTTAGCCGCCGTGTCCATCAGCTCCCACATGATGAGTTTTTCAGTGTGGTCAGGCTGACTTGGATATCCAAAGGCTGGTCTTATACCCTAAATGCACAATATCGTATAATAGTAGTTGATGAGATATTGAGTTCAAAAACAGTTTTGAAAAATCCAACATGGTGGCTCATGGCGGAACAAGCACAATTCCGAGCAAAACCGCAAAAATTTCAATTGTTTGAAACACCAAAATAAACTTGTTACACCCGTTTTCAAAAACATATCAGACATATGTACGGCAAAGTATGAGTGAATCCAAAAGCGAAAACAACAAATAACGAGAACGGTTTTCCTACCTGATATTTGATTCTATGCAGATCTTTGGCGTTCAAATCCTCATCACTGTCATACCCCCAGAAATCCTTGCGAACTCTCTCATGYAGTTCTTCAGCAAATGCCTGATAAGGGTYAATTTASAATTATCAAAAKAARATTCTCGGAAACYYAAAGATTCCAKAAAAYACTCTCAAAGAACTTGAGACTTGAAATGAGTYAGGCTAGCTGATAAAGCACTCAGTTACACAAYACTGCCTAAAGCATTTGCAAACATATTTTGGAAGATTTTCTTCAATAAGAYWACGAGTACCATTAACTATACCCGYCACCCTCTAACWTGTGCGTCCAGGTTTTGGCTAATAGTTTTGTCCTCGYCCTATRGTACAGAACCAATGTACGATCTAATATCACAAGTGRTTTTMRTTCAGAWTTGAACTGTGACAGCAGCAGTCGTGGTGAACAGACGTTTAGGAATATTTGCTGAAATTATTTCCRTCCGCACTTACCTCGACTATTCTGTCAGCCAATGCCTTTACCATGATAACACTGTAATCATCTAGCTCGCCTTCATACCTGGCATAAAAAATAGCATAGTAACTACAGAATTTCACTAGTAACTTGATGCCTGATGTCCCCTGATAGCAGAGTCTCTCTAGTTGTATAGATCACTGTTACTTGTCGGGAACTACAACAAAAGACTCTACTTGCAGAGAAACCTGATGTAACAAGATTCAAATGTAACTAACCATACAACAATGACAAAAGCTAGCGTAGCAATCGGAAAATGCCCCAATAGTACAATACTAACTTAAGACAGTTTTCTTATGAAATACAGGGCTTTTAGGTGAGGTCTGGGTAAGGTTTGGTGTCCTAAATCTTACCCTCTTCTCCATTAAAAGACCAGGGATTCCGAGGATGCAAAGAAGTACGTTCGATTATCATCTAGTCGCGAGCTTTTTTTAAAAATTATTTCTTTTAATTATTTTTTTCTATTTCTTTCTTTCTTTCTTCTTGCTTAAATTTTWCCGACTTACTCATGAGCCATGGCTTCAGCCCCCATACATGACACAGCAAAACAGCCTATGTAGTCCTCCACCCCAGACTCCAAAGGAGCAATGAAATCTGATATGCAGTAGTAAGGTTCCTCGATACCATGCTCTTTTTGAGCCTGAAAAACAATTAAACATACCATAATACACAACAGCCAATCACATTGCGCAAACATAATGACGTCAAAATATCGACAAGAGTGGATGGTGTTGGAGGAAGCCGAGGTTGTCGGATAGTGGAGAATGATGCGTCGACTGGTCAACAACAAGAACAACACCGCCGTAACCACAAACAACAACACCGCCACAACAACCACCATCACCACCACCATCAACAACAACACTACCATCACCAACACCACCACCACCAACAACAACAACACCGCCACAACAATAACAAAAACCACCGTCACCACCACCAACATAAACAAGAACACTACCATCACCAACACCAACACAACCACCAACAACACTACCGTCACCACCACCAACAACAACAACAACACTGCCACAACAACAACAATCATCACCGCCGCCACCACCGCCGCCGCCACTACCGTCACCAACACCACCACCACCACCACCACTACCTACAGAAAACAAATAATCACACACGGTATTGTCTATAAGCCTACCTGTTGTCTTAGCCCATGGAATACCGCTTTGGGTGTTCCTGTCTTTGACTGGATTTCATCAAATACATAAATATCATCATTGACACTGTTTGCGCGGTAAAAAGCCACCTGACCAACGATATGTAGAGACTTGGTAGATACAATTTGTTGGAGCATTTCCTGTGCATCGTTGTACACCTTCTTTGCTTCCTCACCTATTTATCAACAGAGTACAATAAAATACTATGCTTTTCTAATTTGCCTTTTTCTCGTTCAATTCGATCGAACGCTATTTTCTCACTTGCATAGAGAACAAAAGAAAGCACCAAAAATGTTCACATTACAATAGCTCTAGAAATTTGAATCTTCTCCGATTCAAGGCTAAGCCTGAATTCCCATAAGACCTAGAGTTTGAGCCTTCTAAGAATACAGGCTTATCCTCAAATCGAAGAAAATGCAAATTTGTAGGACTATTCTAATGACAACATTTTCTCGTGTTTTCTTTTGTTATTGATAAGGTCTCTCCGCATGAGACTGTTGTCAACTAAAGCAGCGGTTACTCGCTTTGAACGGGAAAAAGGCGTATTGGTTCAAAATCAAAATCAAATTTGGCGTTTTTTTCGCATGATAAAAGTTATCGCAAAGGTTGTCGTATACACATGGGGCTTTATATTCACAAGAAAAAAACGCTATGCAGACTGCTTCGTTTAATGCCCTACTTACCAACTGTCTTGTCGTTAAATATCTTAGGGTACCCCCTGTTAGGGTATTTGCCTCTTAGTTGCCAGACATCRAAGAATGGTTTCCAGTCAATATATGGTATAACGGCCTCCAGGTCGTAATTCTCTAACAACTTGATCCCTAGGAACGTCGGCCGAACTAGTAATTGCAAAACATCGTTAATTGACTGGAATAATTTATGAATAATAAAAAAATCATTCGAAAATGTTTGGTGTTTAATAGAGTTGGCCCACAAAAAACTGGCCTTCTTTGCAGCCGCTAAGCCGAAACAAATAACGGCTGCAAAGGACACTCAAATGAAGCATTTGATGAATGATCTKAACACATAGATCCCGCTGATTCCACACAGTACAACAATAATCACACGGTCGATGCTGTATTACCAAGAAATACTTGACCAATATACACAATGATATTCCATATCTGATGCATATAGGAATGTTACCTGGTTTGACGTCGATGACATCAAGGTTTAAGCTCAATTCACGTGCGTCGTTGATGGCGAGGTATCGTCGATCCTGTACGAATGAAAGAAGTTTTGTATTTTTTAWTTGCCTGACGAAAGAAAGAACTACTTAAACAGAATTTTGATGTCAGTCCCGCGGTTTTCCCAATCAACATCAATAGTAGCAGGGACAACAGAATAGACTTCTGAAGCTCTTACGTCATGTACCGTATACGCAATGCATTGTAGGATATGTWTGGGATAGATCATGGTAGATTTCCTTTGTTTTCTCTGGAAACTGATCCCACAATGCATTGAAAATCAATTAGTGGCGTAGAAGGTTCAGAAGTCTATTAATAATTTAGAGCAAAGTAGTRCAAACAAACCAGCCAGTACCTTGAGTGAGTCATAATGTTCCTCTCTAATTTCGTCGTATTCCTCACTGACTTCATCAACAAACTCRTCACGTTGCTTTTCGTCCAGAAGGGCCGTACACTGATAGAAACACGAATAGAACACGAAACGAAGACACATGAATAAAGAAGCACTTAAAAAAATAAATTAGTTGATTGAATATAATAATAGGGGCAACTCAATGGATTAGTTCAATAATGAACTAACTAAATATTTTAATGCATCGAATTTGAAGTCTACAGTCRTGGGTTCGATTCCGAGAAATCACTGTGCACTTAGGCAGGGTAATTTACTTTTCTCTATCCTAGCAATCAAACCTATACAGGGCAATAACGCTTCGCGTACTAAGCGACAAACAAAGAGATTAGCTTACCACCACGGCGCTTTTTGACGCGTCTAGTACGTGGACCACCGGTTCAGTGTATCGAGGAGCGATTTTTACAGCAGTATGCGTCCTAAAGGAATGATAAAAACGGTTCCCTCTGTGAGTGCTATAGATTACGTAGTTCAGTGAGAACATTCACAACACCTTGCAGGGTTCGTGCTACATTTTCACTAAAAAATTCCAGGACTTTTCAAAGCACAAAAATGCGATTTTCGAGGACTATTTTTGAAGTTTATTTTGATGTTTGCGAAACAAGCCGATACAAAATAACATAACAAGAAACCATGAACTATAAGCCCAGCCCACACTGATACGTTTTGGTGCCGTTTTTGAATTACTCTCTATAGTCAAGGAAATTAAAAAAACGCAACAAAGTTACAATTGGTATRCTTTGCTATAGGTTAACAATAAATTTTATTACCGTTACTCCTTATCAGACAAATACCTGACCCAGAGGGGAGAGGAAAGGATTTTTGTTATACGACATACCTAGACGTCGTAGCTCCACCAATCAGAAGCGGTAATTTCATCCCTTGTCTTTCCATTTCCCTGGCAACGTGAATCATTTCGTCCAAAGAGGGTGTTATGAGACCAGAAAGTCCGATGATGTCTAAAGGAAAATAGATCATTATACGTCTAAAATTGCATAAACTGCTGAGCCGGATATCAAGGACTTTTCCACACACGTTTCTTTAAATCATTGCCATCAGAAAATTATCATTTACTAATTGCAGAAAATGGCAAAAACGATGAAGCTTTATGAAAATACACATGCCGACCACGAAAGTACTGCGAGTAGAAGACTTTATTTTTCTTATAAAAGGGCACAGATTTTAGGATGGCCATACAAGCCACTCACCTGCTCCTTCATCTATAGCGGTCTTTAATATCTTTTCACATGGAGTCATTACTCCAAGATCGATAACTCTACAAGAAAAAAAAGGGTCAGCAAAGGGTAAGAGGTGTTTGATCAATGAAAGCTGGAAAGATTGCAGATTTAGTGGCGATTTTTCTTCGCACAAAACCAGCCTTTTCAACCCAGAATTACCTTCCCCTTCCATCAAAAGTCCTTCGTATCTTAGTCAAGAGCAAATTCTTATTCTTAAGCACCGACAGAAGCGCATAAAGATTTCATGGTTGGCAAAGGCTCCATCTCCAAGCAAAGCCATCTTTGTCTCACCTGAAGTTATTACAACCAAGAACAACACCAACTATGTTTTTGCCGATATCATGGACGTCGCCTTTGACCGTTGCAAGCACTATTGTTCCGTTATACTGGTCCTAAAGTACAAAGTAAAATAGTTTATATAATATATATAATAAATGAGGTTATGAGGTCATACTTGTTTTCACGAAATATAAAAAAAAGTATAGATAAATATAAAAAAAAGTATGTGATTTTGAAATTTTATTTTACAAATAAACATTTATATCTTTTTTCATAAATTTTTATAACTATTTTTATAAATTTTGTAAAGCGCATCAGAACTTCATTGATATTTTGCGCTATATAAATACTATTTATTAATTATTATTATTAAATGCATCATGGTATTGATCAGTAACAAGATGGCGGCGGGATGCTTTTAAATAACTACGGATGACGAAGTTTGAGACGAGGATGAAGGAAACTCTAAGACCTTTCTAATAAATAATTTTAGTGTTGAGAAATACAACCACAGCTCATTTCGGCTGTGCACTCGACAATCGACAAATCACGTGACAATTCGACATTTTTCAWGTTTTAAAATAATAATCTTTATATTTTTTAATCTTCGTATTATTAATGATATCGCTTTTTACTGCTGTTGCTGTTACCTTTAACGATTTGTCTTCATCATTGYCTTTACAAGCGAGTCTCTTCTGACGCTCTTCTTCCATAAAAGGAATCAAATACCCAACAGCTTTCTTCATCACTCGGGCTGACTTGATAACCTTTATAAAGCAAACAGAAATAACACAAAGTATAAACAACACGACTAAATTTGATTTTCACTGATGAAGACGTAAACGGAAGCGCTGAGGGAATCAGAATGCACAGAAGGCTTTTGTTTGTTCTTCTGCTTTCTTTTACAGATTCTTCCACGCTTCCTTCTCTGCGAATCTGCCCACTTCACAATTGAAAATAGGTCTTAAGTGAACACAAATACTCAGAAATAGGACTAATAATAAAAGAAGCAAAAGCAAAGAAATGAGAAACTAAATAATACACAAAAAAGATAACAAAATACATATAACATGATTAGCTTTTGAATAAATACAATAACAACGAAATGACACCAAATAACTAAATAAACTTGCAAAATTCGCAAAATACGAACGTAGACAAACACACACACATACATCAAAAGAGAGAGCATAAGAAAGCAAAGAATGGAAACTGGAATTCCTGAGAAAAAGCCCCCCAAAAAGTAACAAAATGAATAAAAAAGACATGTTATGAACATTCACCTGAGGGAGGAACATTTTCCCGGCGCCAAACAGATCACCAACGACCCCCATACCCTACAAGAAATACAACAATTTCTTTGTAACAAATAATACAGGAAAATCGAAACGTGAAAATGTATGCATACCTTCATCAGTGGTCCTTCAATAACGTTGAGTGGTCGAGGGTATTTGGTAATACAGCTTCTTGCTTCTTCAGTGTCYYCAACTACATACTTATCGATGCCCTTGAATAAATCAAAATTTGATAATCAGTTAACATTTTACTCAGTTTATTTCTCGCTTTACTGGATGACTTTTTTTAGTTTGTGTGTCTCGCTGTATATTTGCTGGTAGTATAGACAGACTTGTCTGTTAACTTGTTTCGCTGTTGACTTGTTTCCAAGATTTTCCTATTAATGGTCTACTCAAATGCCTGTTAGCCCTAACTAGTGCATGAAAAAGCACAGGCCGGGTCAAACACACTTTGACTGACAATTTTCGGTGTTTGTGCTAATTAATGCCGTTACATCTCCAAGTAGAAACGTTATTATGTTCCAATTACTATAATTATGCTTGTGATAATGACTTGGCAAAAGCCACGATTGTGCTTAGGTCTGCTTTTGATATGGCAGTCAACATGCGATCCGCTGMCAATYATTGTCGCAGGCTGAGGTAATTCAGGAAAAAGCCACTGACCTTGACAAGTGCATGCTCAAGTCTCTCTTCAACTGGACAGTTTCGCCATTCATCCGTTGCCACTTGTTTCTTMGCACCTGGTCCCATAGACTTGAACAATAAACATATTTTAACATGACTTCTCTCTTGTCCACGTACATTTGTAGAAATCAAGAAACTTTATATGCAATTGTGATTCGGCTGTTGTTGCTGTTGTTGATGCCATCGTAAAACATGAAATTTTTTTCTGTATGCATACTGTTCATAGTACCCTGCGAACAGAGGATTGTTCCACCTCCTTCTACGAAGATAGTGGAAAAATTCCTCTGCTCGCAGGGTAGTTCATAGCGACGAGCTCCAGCAATGTCTCTACACTTTTTTGCGCTATTTTGCGGCAACAATAGCACAACGAGAGAAACGTTTCAGAGTTCAAAAATATGCTTAATTGTAACTTATTTTTTTTTTTCCAAACGTTTTCTACATACCTCAGCAAGTTTTAGTAGTTTCTCAGTAGCATCAGGATCTCTATTCCACAACAAGTCTTCACAGAGCTGAAGCAAACCGGGCTCAATGTCATCATAGACAGGAAGCTGACCAGCATTGACGATTGCCATGTCAAGACCAACCTGCAGAACAGCAAAACCTTAATACAAAATAAATCAGMACTAAGGGTGCGTTGTCCAAGAGGTAGGCAATGAGCACGGCCATTGCTAYCAAAAAAATGCSGTCTTTTTTTCWCACTTTAACACAATTAATGCAAGGACATGAATATTAAGATGGCAGATGAATGAATGCATAAATGAATGAAAATAGAACGATGAATGGATAAATCATAAATAAGAGGATTTTTAAATGAGCTCATAAAAGAACGAAAGGTTTGTATGTTAACCTTGATGGCATGGTAAAGAAACACACTGTGCATAGCTTCACGAATGGTCTCCATTCCACGAAACGAGAAAGAGAAATTCGACAAGCCACCGCTCACACGTGCACATGGAAGAGTTTGCTGGAAAACAAAATAAACACCAATCAATCAATCAAACTCCTTTTATGGCGACTTTCAATCTCCTTTATTCATACTTCAAATAAAACCATCCAAGACTGCACATATATCATTCAAGCACAATATAACATCAAGCGAACAAAAGCCTACAATRCTCCAGTTTCGAATTCTCCAGCGGTCTGTGTTAGCCTCATTTGTGCGCAAAACATTCCTAATTCAAAGAGTCAAAGTGTGAGTTTTAAGATCAATTTTATTGTCTTTCTTTTCAAATTCCATGCGTTTTCTCGGGCTTTCAATGAAACAAAAGAATGTGTTGCTTGGTTTTGATGCTAACAGGCAGAGCAAACCAGAAATCCGTGACGCTGAAATGTCGTATTAGAGAAGACACACTTCTATACCTTGATAATTTGGGTAGCCTCTATGAAGTATTTCCCATAATTGTTGTGTTCCTCGATACCCGTTGCTATGGTGAGAATATTGGGATCAAAGATGATGTCATTTGGGTTCATGTGAACTTCGTCAACTAATATCCGATAAGAACGTTCGCAAATAGCAACTTTCCGGTCCCTGTCTGCTGCCTGAAGGAAAGAAGAGAGGGTTAAAAATAATTTCAAGAAATGAAAATTTCAAGCAAGAGTCTATGAATGAGCCGATGAATGGAAATAGAATAGAAATGAAAGTAAAGAATCAGGGGCGGATCCAGAGGAGGTGCTTTGGGTGAGGACGCATCCCCCCTTTTTGGACGACGTAATATTTTTATATATCAGTATAAACATTTTTTCTGCTATTTATACTCCTGTTGTACTTTTATCGAGAAAAGGAGTAGAATACACAACATGTATCTGCCACTATTCTGATTAACAACTTTATTTGAGTAGTGTAGTCAAAGATACGTTGCAATAATAGTAAATTTTTAGTCAAAATTACATGGTTTTCTTGCTCAATGCAACACGCAGCCACCAAAAATGATCAGTTTCATCTGCTATACTTAGTTTTTAGCTATATATTACTGGCAAAATCAACCCCCTTTATAAAATGCTAAGTCTGCCCCTGAGGAGTGTTCAAAGGAACGAAGAAAGATAGAAAGGAGAATGAGAGGAAAGAAAAAAGTAACAAAGAAATGACRATAGGACAGAGTGAGATATTGAAGAAAGAAAAGGAGGAAGAACCACAAACATACTTGTCCTTCTTCATCAAAAGCCATGACAACAACGGCTGCACCATATCGTTTTATAATGCGAGCTTTCTCCAGGAAGTCATCAATTCCATTTTTCAAGCTTATGCTGTTCACGATACATTTTCCTTGAGCGCACTTTAGACCAGCCTCAATGACWTCGAAATTTGAAGAATCGATACACAGAGGAACCTGGAAAAACGATAAMAAAGTAAAAGGTTTGGATTTAACTAAAATGGGTATCGTTGGTTAGGTCTTAACTACGAAGTCAATGATCATTAATTTAATTTCAACTTTTTTCCAAAAACGAAAACTTGGGCACCATTAAGCAGCAAGCTGAACAATGACAACACAGCAGCAGCAGCAACACCAACAAGCCTGTTTAATTAAATACCTTAGCTATATCTGGTTCTGAAGCAATAAGGTTGACGAATTTCGTCATGGAACTAACTCCATCTAACATGCCTTCGTCCATGTTGATATCAAGGATTTGAGCGCCATTTTCTACTTGTAGCTTGGCAACTGCCAGCGCTTCCTGAAAAGCACATAGAAATATGATGTGTGAATGTGTATTTTGAGTTTGCCTGGCTTTTTTTCCAGATTCAATAGAATTTCTAACTGTGAGTGTACCATTGTGGTAGCATCTCATGTTGAGGTACTAAGAGTGTTTGAGTACAACAGGCAGTACTGTTTTTTTAGTCCAGTGATCATATTGCAAAATCCACCAAAAGCTATTTTTATTTATATTTAGTAGCTCACCTCCATTTTTCCATTCTTAATTAGTCTACAAAACCTCCTTGACCCRGCAACATTACATCGCTCGCCAATGTTGACAAAAATAACACTTGGTGTGATGGCYACAGCCTCCAATCCTGCAATGAAAAAATAACAAACATTGAGGAGAGTATGGAATGCTGCCCGTATCATTCATTTCATATTAAGACTGATTTCAGTGAGAGCACTCTAGCTTCACTCGCAGACAACACTTCATTTTGCCCTTTTKGGGTTCCCTGTGGTATCCTCTTGGCTGGGGCACGGACTCCCTTGGAAATCAGGAAAAAAAGAGATGAGCAGAAAAAGAGAGATTTAGATGCCCACGGAGGATACACTTTAATGGAACACCTTTTTCTTAGTTTTTTCAACTCATCTTTTCGGAGTAAGATGATTGAAATGATAAGTGCCTGGGCAGTTCTCTTCAGTTCGAGATCTCATTTTCACTCTTCCATTCATCCATTTATTCATTTCCCAACCTTTACGTACCACTCAACAGCAGTGCATCGTCATGTTGACCTCGGTGAGGTACTCTAGGTTTATAGGGTTTTACAGCYTCTGCTATGGCTCTAAAACAAATACAAAACATAAAATATAGAACTCAAAATACCCAATTATATAGTGTATATGATATATTATATATATAGTTACTAACCATTGCACAACCTTCAAGAAAATGAGCTTTAGACCTACCTTATGTGATCAGGGGTTGTTCCGCAGCAGCCTCCAACGATATTGACTAAACCATCATGGGCAAATTGCTTTTAAAAAGAAAAACAATRAAAATTATCTCATTGAAAACCTCTAAGACTTGGTTCAGTTAACTGTCCCTTAAAATCGTTCCCAGTGCTTCTCTGCTTGTGCTTTTCAAAATGGAATAATCATAAATTAAAAACATTTATTTTGGATTTAATACGTACCTTAAGGTGATGAGCTGTTGTTTCAGGTGTCTCATCATACCCACCAAATGTATTGGGAAGTCCTTGAACAAAAAATAGAATACATTCAATATCAATGAATGAATAAATATGAAATAATTTGWTAAAGAATCAGGTGTGAAGTCTGTGTGACTGTCACTGTCTAACTCGCAGGAAAATGCCAATACTCCATTTTTTAGTTCCAAGCGCCATCTTGAAGGCAGCAGAGCCTTTGTATCAAAGCAAGGCAGAAGTAAAGCTTGCAATGATAGATACCTGTGAATAATTGTCTAAGCTGTCAGCAAAAGGCATCTATCACAGCAGGCACAACTCCTGTCTCGCTTTGATGCAAAGGCTTGGTTGTACCTTTCAAGATGGCGCTTGGAACTGATGCCACAGAACTGGAGTATTCTCCTACTTACCTGCATTTGGATAACAAATAACATAATGTTCTGTGAACGATCCTACGGCTTCAATGAATGGTCTCATTTCCACAGCACCAAGGGCACAGTTTAGTCCAATACTGAAATATTAGTTGTGATTAAATATTGGCATTAACGACCAACAAAAACAACCATCTTTAAATTAGAAAGACTAATGTCACTTCATCATCCATAAACATGGGAGTTGGGTGAGTAAGCTAATACATCGGTGATGAGGATTGATGGAGGGAGGGTAGGGGTGGGCAGGGAAAGGTATTCATTCAATAATATACTTCATCCAGATCCCATTCAAGAGTCGCACAATCCCATCAGAAGGTTTGTTCAAGTTTTCAATCTMATWCCCTTTTCTATTGTCTTGTATTTCCCAGTCAAATGTCAGGCTAATTATCCCCACCCCAATTTAACCCTTTAGTTCCCTGTTCATGCAAGGATCTTCTAGTCGGAACATTTGATGGGCAAATCAAAGACATAGCACAAATAGAAGAGAAAAGGAATCAGGAAGCTCCAAGAAGTGAATGAATGAATGAGTAAATGAAATGCTGATCTGAAATGAGAAGTAGGAGATGTATGCTGGTTCTTTATAAATGCATGAACTCAAGTCAAATTCATAGACACAATTCTTACTCCCAGCATGTTTTGAATTCAAAATCTGCTCTAGAGGAGTAAGCATTGTCTATGAATTTGAATTGAAGTCAAAATACAACAAACAATGCCAAGCCAACTTCCTCGGTCAGTTTGCATTAATGTTCAAAGTTCAACATGAAAGTATACTTATACTCACCACATTGGGTCAGCATGAGAAACACTAACAGCAAAAGCTTCTGTTGTCTGACCTGATAGTGTACGACCACTTTTATCAACTATAGTACCAGATATCTGACAGCATTAACATGTAAACAACAAAATGAGTCAGAAATTGAATCTAGCTCAAATAATACTACATAATATATTATCATACTTACAAAAATAGGGACTTTTTCATATTCTTTCTCAAACARTTGGCTTATAGCAAACAATGCAGCCTAAACAAAACAAACACAATAAACATTTTTATTTCTATCATATATTGATTAGTTTTTAATAAAATCTGATGATAATAATAAGAATAATAAAACTTATATTTAGTACATCCCTAATACTTGACTATAATAGTATATTTTCAAAGCCCAACGACTAGTGTCTGGCAAAGAAGTTTACTTTTAGAAACAAACCTTTGAATTGGCTGTATCAAATATTGTCTCTACCAAAAGGATATCTGCTCCACCATCCAGAAGTCCTCTGGCCTGTTCCGTATATGCTTCCACGAGTTGATCAAAAGCTGTTACAAATTGATTATCATATCAATAATAAACAGAGAGCTTTATCTAATTTTATATCAAATGACATTAATGCGAGGAGTGAGGGATGTCCATAGAGAGGGATGCCAATAATAAAATATAAGTTTAGTTGACATACTGATGTTTCTGTATCCTGGATTTTCAACGGCAGGTGATATTGACAGTGTTCTGTTKGTAGGTCCCAAAGCACCAGCCACAAACCTTTCAACACCTATCAAATCATTATCAAAATATCAATTTTAAGCAAATAATAATCAATATGTTATCAATAATGATGCATATAATGGAAATAAAAACGTTTATAAATGATAATTGTTTTTTGATATACATGTAGTTGTACCTGTTTCATTTGTTACATCAGCACACGCCCTTTTGGCAATTTCAGCAGAAGTCTTATTTAATCTATAAACCTTCATTTTACATATGAATAGAAGTTAAACAAGTTATGCATGACATATTCTCACAAGCAACTTAGTGTACTTAGGTTTGACCATTGATGAAGACTGTATTCATGAAACCGTATTCAATTATCACCTTACCATATGTTCAAGTGCATAGTCAGCCTGTGCTACACTTGTGCCACTGAAAGTATTTGTCTCAATGAAATCTGCTCCTGCTAGCAAGTATGCCTAGAAATTTTAGAATGTTCAAAGATTACCATTAAAATTMAKATTAATTTGGCCATTTTGACAACACTGCGRTGTCTGGCAAATGGCAGAGGGATACAATTGACAGGACTTTGGGGTCCCTTRCTGGGTTAGATTAGACTATATCACAAGTGACTCTTGAATCTGGTCTTCATTTGTGGGGTAAAACAGTTTGACACCAACTCCTTATGATGTTATGACAAAGGAATCCCACCCAAGTAGAGAAGGTCAGTATTGACATACCTAAATATTACATTCTAATAATTACTAATGGGACTGAATGTTGTATTTCTCAACTACAATTATTAATACCTTATGGATGTCATATATTATATCTGGTCTTGTAATACTCAGCAAATCATTGTTTCCTTTCAAAGGCTTTGGATGGTTTTGGAATTCATGTCCTGAAAACACAACCTGCACTTAGTAGATATCCATCATAGAAAAATGGAAAGCATAATGGATTGATTTAAGGCCTAATATGCCCCTACTGATAAGAGGGGTTATGATGATGATGATGATGATGATGATAATGGATTGATAATTGTTGCTGATTCTATTCCAAGTGCAATGTTTATTTAACTGGTACATGTAATTGCAAGTCGAACATAAAATGGGAATAAGGGTAGGAATTTAACTGAAATATTCATTTGCTAAAGATATGAGCATTGTACCTATTCAACAAGGGTTGTTGTAAAAAATGATAGATGTCAATAGGCAGGGAGAAGCCAGCAAGTGAAGTTATCATGTAAGTTTAACAAGGTAACCATAGTCCCATTGTCATGCAATCACCCTGACAATTCCATTCAACAATCACTGTTGTCCCTGACAAAATTTATTGAAATATATATCATGACAGTAATCCTTTAGGCCTACATATTATACTGCCTTGTGATAAAAAGTGTGCACCATGAAAAGATTGGGAGCAATTTTCATTTGCTACATTTTATCGAAAAGTGAAAGATATGAAAAAAGGTTTCTTTCAACTGAGTTTGAGAGATGTGATAGTTTGTCCTGTCCACATTCTAATCGACCTGTCAGCCCTAGCATGTGATAATCCATCAGTCCCCTGGAGATTTGACACTGTTTTGAACATCAATTCACGAGGAGGGGGGGTGGTCAAGGTTTCAATTGATTGGCATTAAGTTTATTTATGGAAACAAGTGCAACAAAAAGATAAGGTTAAAATATTTACATGTTACTTTTGAAATACTTGTAGAAACAACAATGATCACATACTATAGAGAGAAAAAACAATGGTCCAACGAGAAATGTCTATTTTACAAACCTACCTCTAAAATCTTCCTCTTCTAGATGACGATTTTGAATCATCGTTCCCATTCCACCATCGAAAACCATAATTCGCTTCTTCAAAGTTGCCTCTATTCGACTTCTAACATCTACATATGATAAAARTTGCATAAAGTTTACTAGTAACGGTACTTCACCAGAAAGTCACGTCCATGTAAACAGCACTACCATTACACAACTTACCCATTTTTGCGCCAATTTCTTGGGCATTAGCAATCGTAGCTATTGTTGGAGGCATTTTGCTGATTGTATATCGAAAGCAATTGTTTRCCAAGCGAAAAGAAGGGAAAAGACTTAGTTTAGTCAATGTTATGCAATAAAACTCAGTAAGAACACAGACATCTCACAGTAAATCTACTAGCACAACACAGCACAYGAACCGGTCAATGTCCTTCGATGAGAGGGATCTGGAAACTACTTCCGACAAATTCACTTCCGGAATTAGGAAATATTACTTTTTCTGGAAAATACTCTGGTCACGTTCGAGACTTAGTCCGTAGCCTGTTTAGTCTTGTTTTTTAAGTTATTCCAAAGYTAATTATCGCTCTTTATCAAGTATGCTTTATTTCATTTTTCACTGGGGRRAAATTGGGCTTCCTTTCGATTTAGGTGACCGTGATCAAGAAATAGACTRGGCATTTGCCAACAAAACAACATGGCGGAAAAAATATTAGAAAACAGAAGACGATGAAAAATAGCATTCAAACAGCAATCATTAGGAGCTAGTTTCTGTTAAATACTTCTRAAGATCATGGAAAAAGAACTTGCTCAATTTCGAGCTCAAAAAGCCCGCGAATACAAGTCGAACAAGTTAAAAAACAGTATTTTCGACGCCTTGTCGAAGCTGCSGAATTGGATCAAATCTGAATCGATCACTGAAAATCTCGATCTTTGGATTTTGATTTTGAAGATCATCTTCTGGTTGATTCTGTGGAAATTGTTTATTTTAATGGAGTTTGGYACTGTATTTTTCATGTTATCATTGTTTTATTGGGTCTATAGCAGCATGTCCTATGGCAGTAGACGAGAATGGGAGCCCAGTGCTTATTCAGTGTTCAACAAAGACTTTGAGACCATTGATGGAACGTTCACTGCTGAGCAATTTGAAAAAGAACTCAAATATGGAGCTGGTGCTGTGTCATAGAACAGAATTATATGACTCTAMAAAACAATAATTTAACAAGATAAATATATGTACATAAATTTATATTATATCAAAAAATAGTACATAGTTTTAAAGTTATAAACATTGGGATTTCAAGTTTAAATAGTAAGTGTTGTTAGTAAGCTTACAGGATTTGAATTGAGGGGTTGAATTTTAGCAACAGAAGAGGTACAGTACAATTGGGTCCATTCAGTATCAAAGACCATCCAATATTTCTCGTGTTTCTATTACACATCTGTTTGGTACTTGTTGATGGTGAACTGAGGCAACACTTGACTTTGCAGTGATAGACACCTTTTGTCACACCTAGTACAATATGATCATTCACTGGCATCTATCAGTGCAGTGTCAAACATCTTGTTTGTAAAAACTAGCAGTAAACAGAGTCAGTGTTTCTCAAGAAACAGTTGTGCAAAAAGATGAGTTTTAACACCGTAACAAAAGTAGGCGAAACAACCTAATGATGTTTTGGACGTTAATCCTTCATCAGAGTAAGGAAATTAAATTGGGCTGAAAATTAACCGAAAGGTCGATAAGCTGTTTCACCTACTTTTTACGGTGTTTTAACAAAAAAAAAAGATAAGATGCAAAATTGTTTGCATCTTTTTTATCCAAACACCAGGACTTAGCTATACTAAGCTAGAACACTTGAGACAAGTTAGATCATTTAAAAGTGATCTATGTAAAGGATGAAGGCACAAGGAAAATATAATTACAATTTTAGTTGATACAAATTTATAGTTTTTATTGACATTGTGGATTATTTACTTATAACAATAAAATTCCATTTACCCTACTTTTAACAAATACTGAAGCACCACTACATACTACGTTGTCAATAAGTATTTACAATACCGTGTAAAAAACAGAAGAATCATTTTCTGAGAGGTGTATTTATAAACCACCTACATGTATGTATTCACAGAGTGCACGTAATATCCCAGTGAAATTGTTAGAGTGGATTGCATATGACTGCAAAAAATATGGCAATCATTGTATCTTGGCACTAATGTGTTCTTATATCAGTATTTTATGTTTAGGCGTCACTATCACTGAGATGAGGTTCAATCTGTGACCATGTCATGTTTATGATTTGTGTCTTTGCACAGTCATACGTAAATTGCTCTAAAACTAATTGGTGTTGTCGATTAAACAATCGAGAACAAAGGAATTAGCATAGTTCAGCACTTTTGTGTCAGCTGTCCATTTCACATGTGTATTATTTGCACTCTACCAAGCTTGCATTAAAACCATTATCAAAACTAACCTAACTGTAACATAAACAACTTTAATTATGTGTCCATCACAGTTCTAYTATGACATTATTGTAATTGTAAGTCTGTGTTTGCCTGTTCTGAAAGAAGAGAAGATCCCTACTCTATACTCAGTCTACAGAGCATCAAATTCAATGAGACTCATCCCATAACAATCCTAAAATAATAATAGAAATATAAAAACCAAATGTTTCTCTAGTTGCTCTTACAGTAAACTAAGTAAATTGGTTCAAATGAATCATGCAGATACATTCTGCAACACCACACAAAGGTGTGGATTTGCCTTGAATCATATGTAAATTGCACCTTTTAAATTATTTTTTTAAAACTATGTTTGGTATAAAAGTGGATCATGATAAAAGYGATTTATGCATTGTAATAATATCATTAGGTAATCTATCTCTTGATTGACATCTCATTTGATTAGCTGGAGGCTTCAAACAGCATCCTTATTGCCTAAAAATAGTACAAGAAGTGACATAAGTTAAAAAAAAACACAAAATAGATTTGCACAATAACCTTCAATATTACCCTTTGCATAGCAGCAATCCAGGCAAGAGCTCGTTTCTTCTCTGTTTCAGGTGTTTGGACAGCATGGAGACGGACTTCCATCACACTTCCTCCACTTTCTTTGTACTTTAAGACAATGCCAGTAACATGTTCACCTGATTTTACAAAAAAAAGCATCACTCGATATCCTTCACTCCTGTAAACACAGGAAGCCCAAGCAAGGAACTTACTTTCTTTATCAGCAATAAGTTGAACTGACACAAGACGAACAAGAGCCACAGRGTCATGATGAGCATCTGCATCACATTCAAACTCAATTTCTCTACATATAAGAATTAGAGGGTTAAATTACATTCTCGTATCCAGATCCTTCTTAGTTTCCATTGGGAAATGAGAAGGATCTGATGAGTTAATTGTTACTATGAGATAAAAAATTGTATCATATAATTATCTATGAAATACCTATATTTCTCCATATTGTAAAATCGATATTTTCACTAGTTAAAATAACACATTCGAGGTTTCGCTAAATAATGCAAGTAAGAAAAAAGGTATTTTACGACATATTTTTTTCATATAAAATTATATGATAAATAGAATATTAMATGTTCGCTTGGGGATACGAATTTTATCTTCTCGTGTTGAAAATCTCTCTCGTTCGCTACGCTCACTCGTGAGAGATCTTTTCAACACTCGAAGATAAAATCCATATCTCCGCGTGCCCATGTAATATTCTCTATATATTGTCAATGAATTCATCTTTGATTCCATTCATCCATCAATTCACTCATTTATTTATTATTCCACTTTTTCTACCAAGAGAACCTAAGTTTCTTTTAAAGAGAGGGAGGCATGAGTATGTGTGAGGGGGGGAGGGAGAGGATGATTGGGGTTCTGAATCAGCCATTTTCAGTAGGGATTATAGCCTCCGTAGCAGACGTTCCAAGCGGTTCGATTCTCTCTGCGGGAGAGAATCGAACCGCTTGGAACATCTGCTACGGAGGCTATAGGGATTATTGGATTTTTGTTACAGTAATTTAGATTGACTAAATTTATGGTTATCTATTTATATCACAAACCTGTGTGATTTGTGTTCGAGCTTACAGAGAAAAGTCAGAGGTGAGGAGTCATCGACCACAAACTTTGCTCCTGAAAAGGAAAAAAAAAATGAATAAAATAGATCCCAGCTCAATAAGGATTTATCCTWTCAGGTAGCTTGAAGTACCCTTTGTGTTGAATACAACTGATCCCTCAACAGGGATTGAGGTCTGACAGCTTAAGATCTTTAATTGGCCGCCCAAAATACTCACCATTACAAAGGGTTTTCAAATGTTTATTGAAAAACTCTTCTTCTTTTTTAACAATATGAGAACACTGTTCACAGACTCTGACAGGATCAACAAAACACATTCTTTGCAGCATAACTTTGTGTGCACAGCATTCATTGCAGAAAATACGTCCACAGCGCCGGCAATGATGCTGCAAAGAAAATTGTAAGTTATTAAGTTTAACCATGATGTCATACCAGTAAATACATAAGATCTACAGTGTCCAAGTACTTAGTAAAGACCATTGCAGGGCTAGCTGGTTAGTAACCTTTTGTATATTTATGGCAAGTCATCCTCAAAACTGGAACAGAGTACTGACCACTTCCCAGTACTTACAGACCGGTCATTTATTAGAGGGGAGGACTTTCTGGTGCAAATGGGGGTGGGGGGTCAATGCCTTTTTGTGCAACTAAAATTGAGGGGCTTCACCAATGCAAATTATGTAAAGATTTTAAGGGGTTTTTAGTTCATCCTATTCAAGAGCTCTATATTGCAGTAAAATTGTAATGATGACGAAACTTTATTATACTTTTGGAGTCTTGTCAGTAGCAGTCACAATTGACTTCAAATAAGCATGATGACTTCTAGGTGGGTCATTTGAATTTATGTCTGTACAATTTTAATGGGTCATGAAATTTTGTGCATTTGGAAGCTTAGGGCCAAAAGAAAATATGTCTAGGGAAATAAAATGCACCAGCCAATACCCCCCCCCCCCTGTAATAATGACCGGTCCCTTATATTCAAAAGTGCGTTGGGATATTTTTTTGTGCATCCAACATTAATTTTTATCGTATAGACAATAAGACTGTGAGCCATATTGACAGCTCCAATAACCATAACAATAATTGTAAGGTGAACTGAACTCAAATCACTCACCCTTCGATGTGTAAAATCAAATCTTTTATTGCATTTTACACAGTTTGGGAACTAAAAAAGGAAAAAAAATATTGTTTATAATCAAATTTTCAATCTAGTGTGAATTTCACTTTGTGTTTTTCCTATTTCATCATTAATCGCTAAACCACAATCGATACAGTAAAAGGAAATGAATTCGAAGTCAAAATATCATTTAATTTTGTGTTATCTAGTACCAGACATTTTGCGCATGAATAAAATAAGTTAGAATTGAAACTTTTATCCAAATTCTCGCTCTAAAATTTACCAGGGCATCGTCTTCCCAATGTGGTTCCTCAAGGAAGAACGGAGAACGATCTGCCTCCGACGTAGACACCATACGAAGCCCACTTTTGCTTTTAATAAGCTGTTTATCAGACATTTTGTGCAATTGTTTGTAGTGTTGAACGCCACAGAAAAATAACAATGCGGTATCCCCGTGTAGGCAACGCGGGCTCAGYGGTTGTATCAATCGATAACTGTTCGAGGATTACTTTGTAAAGCTTGTSTAAACATAGAAGCACAATATTAAATATTCTCAATGTCAATTCCTATGTTAATGAAGAAATGATATGGATTTTTAAAGCAAATTGAAGCATTCTTGAAGCGTCTAGTTACACCGTCATAACCTAAAGACCGTCGAAAATTTTACGAACTCTTCCGAGCAGATATCGAGCAGTTCCGAAACGAAAGTACAAAACTCAGCAGGACGTACAAGTACTGTTTCAATTGTTTTGAATTATGCTCAAAAACAGATTTGTGCGATCGTTGTTAAACAAATCAAGGCTATAGTGCTATTGCAACATCGAAAGAGCAGTTGTTTTAGTGAAATTTTGATCTATCTGGATAATCTTCTCTGCCTTTTGTCGTCATGTAARAAGGACTCGAGGTTAAAAGATGACATCGTCTCTGTTTTGGAGATACAAACTTGCAGCTTTCATTCTGCTAATATATACACAGAAATATTCTTTAGGAAGTCTTTGCAAAGGTAAGTTACTRGAGGTTGCGATACAGCAACCGTTTGAYAGCAGAAAAACTACARATTCATTWTATAAAATCAAGGCGTTTTAATTGTTTGAATCAATCGATCGATCTTTAATTTTCCCGGCAATATATTCTCTTGACTAATACACAGCATTTTCCATGTTGATGAAGAATATCCAGTTAGCAATATGTATTAGAAAAAGGAAACTAGTTCATAATATCAATATTATTCTCACTTATGCCTATTTTCTTTGTTTCTCATTTGAACGTGCATAGTACATAATCCCATTGTTATTATGTCGACTACGTTTCTTCTTAGCAGTATTATATATATTTCTCATATCTATTGTCCCTCCTTAATATATTGAGTTTTTTCCACAAAACATCTTACATTTAGACAAAGCCTCCTTCACGGTTCCCTGGTCCATCTTGAAAGGTACAGTAACCATGCCTGTACATCGAAGCGTGACAAACCTTGTAGCATACAATAATAGAAACCTTCTTTCGCAYGTACTGACATTTATTCACAGGCATCTATYATTGCACATTYAAAAGTCATCTCGCTTTGATGCAAAGGCACKGCTACCTTTCAAGAYRGTGCATGGAAAAGCTGAGACTTAATTTATTACCACTAATTATATCTCTATATTTGATTTTAGATCAGTGGATATGGGTTGATGGAAGTGATACCATAATAACAAAAACCATAGTCAATGTTACTTCTGAAGGAAAACAGTATCCAGGAGCAAGACATGGAACAACAGGTTGGACCGACAATAATGGCAATGTTTGGATGTATGGTGGTGAAGGCAGTCGGAAACTTGATGAACTATGGACCTTCAATCCTAAAACTACAACATGGCATTTCATYGGCAYKGGTGGYAATAACAAAACATGGCCAGTTMCTTGTGAAGAGTGTGTGTCATGTAGTCATGGAAACACAGCYGTTCTGTATGGAGGATTAGTTACACGAAAAGGAAAGTCTGTATTCAAAACATGGGTTTTAAATATGACCWCAAARCAGTGGTCCAAAATGCCTGCAGTCTCCCATTCCCCACCAGCAAGGGAAAAGAGCACATATTGGTGTGACAGACAGACAGGTTTGCTGTGGCTTTATGGTGGAGTTGACAAAAATAARGACTTGAGTGACATGTGGGAATTTTCTTTCAGTACGATGAAGTGGACTGAGATTCACACCAATAGTACTTCAAACTCACCAAAAGAAAGATTTGGAGCTGTGAGTTGGGTAAAAGATGGTCAACTGTACATGTATGGTGGTCGGGTCCCACCAAAGGATCTCATGTCAGATTTATGGGTATATGACACTGCAAATAAACAATGGAAATTTCTTGTTGGTGGTSACAAACATACCCAACCAGGTGCATATACTCACAAAGGGATACCCCRWAATACTTCACACCCAGGATGCCGTACAGAGGCATTGTCCTGGAGCCATGATGATGCATTGTGGTTATATGGAGGAAGAGGTTGTGACAGACRKACATCTAATAGCTCCTCAACAGGACTCATGTCTGACCTTTGGATGTTCAATACATCCTCCAAGTTGTGGACTTGGGTAGCAGGTTCACAATCGATAAATAGCAAGCCTTTCTATGGCAAGAAAAATCTCCCAGACCCCCAAAACATCCCAAGCTCAAGATCAGGCTCTTTGACCTTTAGACAGGGAAAGAGATTTTGGCTTTTTGGTGGTTTTGGACTTGATAARAATGCAATGGAGGGTTCTCTAAATGACATGTGGGTATTTACAGAAATTATGGAGTGTTTTGGCCCACCATCAAAAAGTGGTGGCCTGCCTGGTGACACCCTGGACATGCCATATGCCCAAAGGCTCATGATTGCATTTGGAATTCTCATTGTTGCAATGATTGTCTCTTTGTTTGTGTGCTATAGAAAAGAGTGTAATATAATGTACTGGAGGTACAAGAAAAGGTCTCCAAGGGTTAAATATGAACCACTCAAAGTAAAGATGCAAGTTCCAGATGTCTAACTTGGTTGAAGCTAAATTTAAACAGATACAAGGGACCTAACATACACTTACATAATGACATTAAAGTCAATATGTACAGTAATATTCATTTACAAGGACTTGCATATATAGCTATTTCTAAAATAGTTATWGAAGAGAGTGGTCATCAACCATGGAATGGTGATGACACAAGACTAAGATTACAACTTAAAGAAATTGACTCACAATGATTTCTATCTACTTGCAATACATTTTTAATACAATTCAAAATAAACACTGGCTTGGACATTTATAAAGCTTCATAAAGCKCCTTTACAATCTCAGATTATCTTTATAGAAATATAGCTTTTTGTTTGTAGAGACACACATGAGTTCAAAAGTCTCTCACCTGTGGACGGTCTAGTTAAACTTTGGACTTTTATTTAATTCATTTAATATTATAAATTATGTTACATGTTCATTAATAATTATATAATAGAGGCTTTTTTGACAAATATCTAAAAAATGTTAAAAATTGTAATTTTGAAGTGATTATTTATTAGGAAAAAGCATAAAATAAAATAAAAGAACAGTGATTTGTTTCGGTCATTATCTACATATCTTCACAATGTTTGTGGCTTCATTGTACTGTCTTTTACACTGCAAGCAGTAATTCACTCCAGGCAATCTTGCCAAGGTTGTTTATGGGGCCTTATCAAGATAGGAGGAAATCACTTCTTGCAGGACTAACTGTCTTTTTGAATGACATTAATGTTTAATATCTATTGTAATGTAATATATAATTGAACACATCACTAATTGATATCATAATCTCTGTACTCTCTGATAATAACTTGGAAATAATAATTAAAAATAAAATATCTATATCCATAATGTCATAATGTCCATAATCCATAATATAATCTAGCTAAAGATTACTTAGAAAATGTGATAAAGAATTATATGAAGGTAATTGGTTCATATTAAATCTTATATTATGCTCTTTGGGAAATGTAATAAGATGCAGGGCTGGATAACCTRTATCCACACCAGTAACTGTCTCCTATCAAGACCTAATACTCTGATGTGTTCTTAAGAAAACAGAAAAATAGCCAAAAATGTTATATATTATGGTAATTGTGCTGACTGGCTGATTTAAGGCAGGAGATATTCATGTTTTGAGGACATTTCTTATGGCCCATGTCCAAAAACTTACAGCCTTCCTGCTGCAAAGGAGACTACAAATACCTGGATTATTAAGGATGTGTTTTTTTTTCTGCCTGAATGGCCATCCTAATCAGCCAGCAATATGGAACGTYWATGGGATTTAAATTATAATTTTTTTTAAGAATACTCCAATTTCGAGTTCTGGTTTGCTCTGTGTTAGCTTCAAAACGAAGTAACATATTCTATTGTTTCATTGATAGGCCGAGAAAACGCATGGAATTTGAAAAGAAAGACAATGGAATTGATTTGAAATCTCACACTTTTATTCTCACAGTTAGGAATATTTTGCGCACAAATGAGGCTAACACAGAGCATTGGAGAATTCGAAACTGGATTATTGGCTGCAATTATCAGTTGGAACTAAGTATGTTTGGCAATCTATAACAACAGCACAATATCAATCTAAAAGATGGTGCTATTAGCTTTCCCTCACATTAGTCTATCTGAAATTCATTTTCTGTATATCAACAAACGACTGACCATCTTTAACCTTGCACTCCAGCTCCAACGATTTGAGACAGGAACCCCAAGTCACATGGTTTTTGTCCTTGTGAGCATACATCTTTGTTTGGATTTGTGCATTCAGCTCATGCATGTCTGCAAACTTGAGGCATAGTAACATATAGGAGCGGTCTTTACTCTTTGAACAAGACATGCCATGAGTTGAGAAGGTGCATTCATATACAGAGCATTTGTCATCATTTTTCTTCATCTCTGGTTTGATTGAGCTTCCAGAAATTGAGGCATCACTAAGAAAAAAAGGGATACCTTAGTACTAAACCTTGCAGCCCCCCCCCCCCCATTTTTTGGGCTTCCTGTCCCTACTATAAGAAGTCTGGGACAGGAAGCCCAAGAAGAGAGGAGGCTATGAGGCTTGAGAAGTCTATATTTCCACCCCTTTGAGATGAGAATCATAAACTGACCCATCCAACTAGATAATATTAGTAAAACCATTTAGAAGCCATTTTTAAAATTGATTATTATCTGTAACCTCTTGTAAATAAGTTTACTCAAGAAATGTAATTACATTCCATCCCCTATTAATCCCCTTTGCTCCTAAATAATTTTAGCTGAAAACTCAGCTTGTTAARAAAACGCCATGCGTAAACAAATTATGTGTATAGGGTTGTCCAATATAGTTTAATAGCTAGTTTAGTGCTAGATAAACCTTCTGTTTAAGATCAGCTGAACAGCTGCTGGTCCATCTATGATCGATGTAGATGTTAGTAAAGCCTTMAGTATTATAAAGCAAGCGCAAAATATTTACCCGTCATATTAAACCCAAACTTCACCTGCTTTACACAAATATTTTCACTAATCCATCAAAATTCACCTTAAAGTCATCGCAGGACGGAATTCAACAACTACTTTATAGGAAGTATCGACCAAAAGCTTCACAGTTCGACTTTCTTTGAATCTTTCCCCGTCTATTTTGAAAAATACTGGAGAAGWGTCATCCGCTCGTGTAAGTGACAGATAGACTTTGAAGTGGCGCTCTTCTGGCCTTGCTGAAGCCATAGCGAACAAATTAAGTCTAGCTTTCCTTGAGATGTACAGAGATGTCCCTTGCAGAACGAATTGCTCTTTTACTGCCTAAAATTTCCTACTAGGGGTAGGGTGARGAACTTTGTAGCACAGGGTACCCACTTTCCAATCAGTTTGGTTTTTGGTATCGAGAATCGAAATAAAATCAAGGAAGGTTTAGCTAGCTTCTCTATAGCTATATAGGGCT